TTGTTTGTTTTTGTCTTTGTCTTTCATCCATAAAATGCCAAGAAAGAGATCTAGTGCTCGGAGCCAGAAGATTTTTACCGAACGCTTTCTAAGATTGGCTTGAATTGGCGTTTCTTTCGTATCGAATACTCAGAAATAATTACATAAGGTCGATACGATGCTGGACGCTATGACGATGAAGGTAACTTGAGAAGCTAAAAAAAATCATTTTATCTGAAAAAAATAGTGAAAATAACAATAAATTAAGTATGTTCGACAAGTTTGGATAATCATAGCCAGTGGCATTGAAGAAAAAAATAGTTCATTTATTGGAAATCTGTTCCGTTTACTTTAAAGTTAAAATATTGACAAATGTATAATGTATTTTGTAGGAAAGAAGAACTCGAGGAGGACAACAACGAGGCGGAGAAGAAACAGAGTGACCATTGATCCTACACAAAGATTCTTCTTCCTGTACATTGTCTTTCAATGAACACTGGTATTACTTTGCGAAGACATTTTCAGTTCTTTTAGCAGTTTTTCAAGCTTTTGTAGGTAGGGCTTAATCGAAAGCCAGTGACAATAAAATCTGCAATTAAACCGTTTGATCTATAAAGTATACCAACAATAGGGAACTACAGTAAATTAGGATGCGAAAACTGAACGTAGGAAATTAACTTTATGTATAAAAATGTGAGAATGTGAGCAAAGTGTCGTCAAAACTCAAAATCTATCCTTGATTTAAATTATTACGATCGTGTTTTCAATTCTCCCGTTGCATGCACACGTGATCATTAATTCACCCTTTAACTCCCACGATCTCATTAGTAATTCTCCCTACTGTCTGTCATAAAATACTTATGATTTCAATTTGGAGAATTTGGTATTGGATCAACTTTTAGTCCCCTAATTGAGTTTACTTCCTTATTCTCCTCACTTGTCTGCTTGATTCTGTGTTGATATTGTAAGGAGAAATTATGTCTTGGTCACTGATGGGAGTTAAAGGGTTAAGGAAAAAAACTGGGCGCAAGATTCTAACGTAGGAAGCAAATATAAATTGAAACAGTGGATTGGACATTTGTCCAAGAAACATTTGTTAGACGAAACATTGAAGTAAAAGTCAATAAGAAAAACTGAAGAAACGGTGCGTAAGACATTGATGGTACAAACAGTAAAATCATCGGCATGCAATGCATGCAAGATATATTTTTTTTGTCTGGGTGAGTTGAGGAGGGACATTGTGTAACTGATGTTTTCATTTTTGTTAAAGAAAAAGAGCCTTAACCTTAAAAAGAACTAAAATACCGCGTTACTTTACTAAGGAGGAAAAAACCTTCCAGCTTATCTGAAATAAACTCACGCATAGGTATTTCGGGGTCTCTTGACTATGTTGTGTGAATAATTATAAACAAAAATACTCTTACTTTGCCTTAAGAGAGGGTGGAAGAGGAGAAAAAAAACTTCCAATTTATCTGAAATAAACGCACACATTGGTTTATTGGTTTATTGTCCCTAAGCTGTATTGGTTTCACACACACACACACACAGTAATCTCCTTCTCGGTCAATGTGTAGTCTCGTCACGCAACGCCCTCTCTCCTCAGCTGGCGAGAGTGCGTGACGAGACTAAGCCATAGGCATGCAACGCGTGCAAGAGTTATTTTTGTTGGTGGGACAATTTGTGTTACTGATGTTTTCGATTTTTAAAGAAAAAGAGTATAACTTTCAAACGAACCAAAATATCGCATTACTTTACCTTCACTTAAGAAAAAAGATAACTAAAAAATGCTCAATTTTATAATCACGCTCGAGTCGAAAATAGCAAACCGTCCTTTCTCTCTTTTTGTCGCCAATGCTACATCATGATCCCGGACGTTCTTAGCGGAGATGCTGACAACTGGGGATGAGAATCACGAGCTTCCCCTACTACTAGGTTTACCTCTGTCCCCGATATTGTG